AGGAACAAGTGCATCGCTTCTAGTAACAAGTGCCTTACTAGTAGTAACAAGAAGCTACTATATTTGTATATATTTGTTGATCCAACACATGAGGCGCAAACCAAGCAGCGCCAACTTCCCGATGGGAAGCTTTGAAAGCATAAGAATGACCTGCGGAATTCACAAAGACTCATCGAATCTATCCTGGCGCCATTCAGAATCGCATGTGAATTATTTCCCTGTTCAAAGAGAATGCTGAGAGCCGTGCCATGGCTGAGCTCGCTGTTTGGATTTCCGTGTGGCAACGAAACAAATCAATCAGAGTCAGTATTCAACTCTTTGGCTTCGGATCCAGACCATGATGAGTCCTAATAGCAAACTATATCACATTGTTACACGATTCTTCCCTTTTTTTGTTCGTAAATAGCGGCTTAGCGATGGCCTCCAACCTAATAACACACGTATATTACACCTTTCTTCCTGTTCTTCTTTTCTTTGTTTCCAAGAGCGATGGCGATGTGTAGCATCACCTTGTGTGATACAATGTGATACATCACAAAATCGGTCAGTGAGCCTTTCAATGCCTGATGAGCCTTTTGTAACCTTTTGTCGTAAGATGGCGTAAGTTCACACAAAAGACAAGTCGATACGTCACGATCGAACCTGCGCAGCATCTCGACTCTCTTTATTCATCCTTACCTTCCGCACAATCGGTATTCCCAGCTCTCCAAGGGCCCTTTTTTTGCTTTTCGGAGAAAATTCAAGCCAAGGGGCATCAAGGCTGAGTATAGTAACATGATAGGATTGTTCATGATTGGTCAACAGAGTTTAGGTTCTTTTTTGGTAATGATACTTTTTCTCTTGACCTTTACACAGCCTGGCCCGAAACATGACTGGTTGCCTTAGCTGGGAAGCACTCTACGCAGTAAGACAGTGAGGCAGTGCGCAAAACAAAAGAACACTTATTGTTTCATGTTCAACCCAGCAATCGCCAGCAACCTGGAGTCGCATGCTTTGCGCTTTGCGCAAGGCAAGAGGACTCGAAGAGGACTTGAGGTCTGAACAGATCAGCCCCGGCTCGAACACCTCGAACAGTAATTTCTAACCGAGCGTCATCTGCGTCACTTCATCTGCGATGCGTTCAGGAGACAGCGGAACAAGTTAACGGACTCATGTCGTGTCACAGGACAGTCAGCTCCGCCTTGACAGCATGCTTCTTGGCCAAGCGGCAGTCTACGGGTGTAACCTCGAGCAACACAAAGCACATTCGCGCGTCGCTTCTGGTTGCAAAACATGTGGAGCACGGCTTCCAACGAGAATTCTTCTTCATTCTATATGTACAGCAAAAATGTAGTTATTGCATACATCTCGGCACTCCCCACCAGTTGCGGACCGACTTACTTAAGAATATTGTATTCAATATTATGGACAATATTAAGGAAACAACTGAAACCTTGGCCCGGTCGCTGGTTCACACCCCGGGTTCGCCTCCAAAACCTCGTCCGTGTCCATGTGGCCCAGCCAGTCATCGATACTCATCTGGGCAACATGTGCAGCTACTAGAAGAAGTGCATCGCTTCTAGTAACAAGTGCCTTACTAGTAGTAACAAGAAGCTACTAGGAGCATTCTTGCTTCTAGTAACAAGTAGCTACTCACTTAGAAGCCTACACATGTGCTCGTGTCATACAAGGCCATCGTCTGGGGCTTTTTGGGAGCTCGCTAAGTTGAACCGCTGAAGAATATGATCGAAAGGCATTCCAAGGTCGATTTCTTTGGGACTAGGAGCAAGGACGCTACTAGTAGCTCCTGGCATCGCTACTAGTAACAAGAAGCTACTAGGAACAAAGGGCATCGCTACTAGGAGCAAGGACGCTACTAGTAGCGAAATCGGAACATTGGCTCAAGATGTCGGGTGCGATTTCGCGCAGTGTTCCTGTCCCGCGGCATCGTGCTGCAGTGCTTGCCTCGACTTTGGGCGGAAGGTTCACTGTGAAGCTACCTCAGTGGCGATCTCAAAGGGTTCTGCATGGGTTTTTGCCCAAGTTAGCCCTTTTGGGGACGGTGTTCTCTGCATTGAAAAGGAGGAAACGGGACATGAAGAGAAAAAAAACAAACAGATTTGAAGTCAAAAATGATCACATATTGTGTTAAGACAAACAAAAAAGATCTTTGGAAAAGAACACAATTTGGACAGGTTTACTTCTGAGTTGCCTGAGGCTGCCCGGACATTGGACACCGCTTTCTCCTTGGCAACACGTTCCTCCCTCAGGCCCACTGCAGTTTTGCATCATGTTTGCCTTCAAACCAAGGCACAATCCATGGATCAAAGTTCCAGGGATAACCAATAAACATATATATATACATATATTATATGTATTACAAATTGTATATATATATATTGGGTGTCTGCTTAATTGCACATCAAGTGGAACGCTTGCAAGTTTCAGGATGCTGTCTATCACACCCTCTGGCGGATGTCCTTGGTGATGTTCACATCGAGGTCAATTTCCTCGTGATATTCACATACCAGTCTTGCGAAGTGCCAGCATGTGCCACTTGCTGTGCTTTCCCAGGCCTTGTTGTGCAGCCCAATCACTTGGCCAGCATAGACTTCTTCAGCATGCTGACCGGGTCACCGAGTCCCGAAAACTGGACGACACGAGGTTTCCACGAAACAGTCCGAACCTCTACAAAGAACTTGCCACGCTGCTGGAAGTTCAGAATGCTGTAGAAGGTCGCCTTGGATACTCTGGTGACGGATACCACAAACTTCTCACCAAAGAGTTCATTCTTGTCTTGAACTCATCTTTGTGAATTGAGCGCATCTGCAACATTTGCCTGCCTTCCCCGTGGCTGTGGTGCAAATGGAGCCTTTCTCCTGGCGAAGCAAGTCCCACAGTTCTTCCAACCAAAGGAATTGGGAGTCGCTAGCAGTCGATCAACTTGGGGTGCAAATGGTGGAAGCCGAATCCCATCTACTACTACAACCTTCTTCAATGGGACGACTCATTCCAAACTCCACAAGACAAACGATCAACGCTGCCTTCTGAACAAGCTGTCATTCCAAGAATATTGTACAGTGCCTCCCAGCAAACCATAGGGGCCCGCATTTAGGGGCATCAAATGCATTTCGGAGCAGGATCAGGCGAAACATGTTAAAACGTGTGTGTGCCATCTTCATGATGGACAGAACAGCTGTCCCATTGCTCATTGTGCAAGCAGCATCATTCGTTCGCTGAGCTGCTAGGGCCTTGCCTGTGTTCTATGTGTCCCTCGAAACTCTCAACAAATGATGTTAACCGCAGGTTAACAGTAGTAACAAGGTTCGCTACTAGTAACAAGTGCATCGCTTCTAGTAACAAGTGCCTTACTAGTAGTAACAAGTGCCTTACTAGTAGTAACAAGAAGCTATTAGTTAATTTAACTATAACCGCTATAACTTGGTGGCACCTCGGTGGCACAACGACATCCCGGTGCCGCTTGTCCCGACCACCGCCGGGTCCCGAATCTTCACAGAGCTCCCATCGAACCTCAGCGGATCAGAAGTGTCCGTCGAAGCCTTCGGGAAGAAAAAACTACAACAAGTGCCTTACTAGTAGTATCAAGAAGCTAGTAGTAACAAGTGCATCGCTACTAGTAACAAGTGCCTTACTACTAGTAACAAGAAGCTAGTAGTAACAACTGCATCGCTACTAGGAGCAAAGGGCCTTACTACTAGTAACAAGAAGCTAGTAGTAACAAGTGCATGGCTACTAGGAGCAAAGGGCCTTACTACTAGTAACAAGAAGCTAGTAGTAACAAGTGCATCGCTACTAGGAGCAAAGGGCCTTACTAGTAGTAAGAAGAAGCTAGTAGTAACAAGTGCATGGCTACTAGGAGCAGAGGGCCTTACCACTAGTAACAAGAAGCTAGTAGGAACAAGTGCATCGCTACTGTGAGCAAAGGGCCTTACTACTAGTAACAAGAAGCTAGTAGTAACAAGTGCATCGCTACTAGGAGGAAAGGGCCATACTAGTAGTAACAAGAAGCTAGTAGTAACAAGTGCATCGCTACTAGGAGCAAAGGGCCTTACTACTAGTAACAAGAAGCTAGTAGTAACAAGTGCATCGCTACTAGGAGCAAAGGGCCTTACTAGTAGTAACAAGAAGCTAGTAGTATCAAGTGCATCGCTACTAGGAGCAAAGGGCCTTACTAGTAGTAACAAGAAGCTAGTAGTAACAAGTGCATCGCTACTAGGAGCAAAGGGCCTTACTAGTAGTAACAAGAAGCTAGTAGTAACAAGTGCATCGCTACTAGGAGCAAAGGGCCTTACTAGTAGTTACAAGAAGCTAGTAGTAACAAGTGCATCGCTACTAGTAACAGGGGCCTTACTAGTAGTAACAAGAAGCTAGTAGTAACAAGTGCATCGCTACTAGGAGCAAAGGGCCTTACTAGTAGTAA